GGTTTTATGAGCCGATGAAAGCTGAGAGACTTGGATGGATGAGATGAGTGATTCTGTGAGAAACTCAGAGTCCAGCTGGGAGTCAGGAGGAGACGCTGAACTGTTTGCTAAACCTGTCGGGTTAAAGGTGGACTGAAGATTTAAACAAAACTTTATTACTTTATTTTGTAGCATTCCTTTCCTTTTCTACAGTCATGTAGATGAGGRGGCCATCTTGAATTGAATCCACAAGTTAATAAGTTGTATCCCTTAATAAGAATAATAAAAGTTAAACTGAGATTAGGATTCTGCAGGCAGGCTGAGTCAGTTTCAACTCTCCACGTTCATCTGGAAACCTTTTTAAGGAAATTTATACGGGTCTTTAACTCATCAGGCCATGACGATTTTCCCGGCATGTGGGACGCCACAGCCTCATTCCAGTAATTATCGGAGCGCTCAGACTCCCCGAGCTTTGCAGAAACGTCCCGAGGATCTCAGGATTATTGACAGACGACTTGTTAAGAGTCAGTCAGGTGGATGTGAATGTCGTTTAATTACATGAAGGGATTATTAGCATCGTTAACCGTTCTGAATGTCAATGATTTCCCTGAAGCGAGCTCGGATCACATAAAAAGAGCACCCTGTTGAGCCCGAGGCTTGTGATCAAATTAGTAATCAGCTCTCTTAAGCAACAAACAGAGTCAACAGGTAATTATGCTCCAGCTCCGGGTTACGTGCCAAAAATGAAAGATTCGCTCTCAAACTTCTCTAAAAATGGATCAAACTGTGAGATAAAGTCAACAACTCTGAGAGTGACTTCCCTGCTTTCACTTTAAAATGCAATTATGTTGTCGGGTGTGTGTGTGTGTGTGTGTGTGTGTGGGGGGGGGGGGCTCAGATTTACACATATTAATTATAGATCTGAAGGGTAAACCTCTCAAAGACTCACTGAGGGTGAAGCTTCTGCTGCCAGGTTGGAAACATCCTGAGGAAACAAGTTTTCAATGAAACTGAGCTGAAACAGAGGAGCTAAACAAAAGCTAAAACAAAGAAAAACAGAAGCTAAAAGGTCAAATCAGCACAGCAAGCTAAAATTGTCACAACTCTTCCTACACATTTACATAAGCTAAACAGTATGTGTGGGTTAAAAAGAGCAAAACTGTAGCTAAAGTCTATAATTGGCAACTAATACTAGCTTACTATCGAAAAGCTAAAATTAGCCAAGTCTTTAAAAAACTAAAACTGGCAAAACTATAGCTAAATGCTTAGCTAAAACGAGCAACAGTGTAGCTTTAAGCTCACATAGACTAAATAATAGCTATAAGCTTGAATTAGTAAAACATAAAAAAGCTAAAAGTAGCACAACTGTAGCTTATAGCTAAAACTAACTTGTAACCTGTAAAAAATCTAAAATTAGCAGAAACATATCTAAATGCTTAAATTAGCAAAACTATAACTAAAAGCTAAAACCAGCAACATTGTAGCTAAAGGTTTACATTGAATAGTAGCTATAAGCTTAAATGAGCAAAAATACATTTAAGAGCTAAAATTAGCAAAACTGCTTCAAAAACTATAGAATCTAAAATGTCAAAACTGGACCTTATTACATAAAATTACCTTAACCATTTGTAAAAATCTAAAATGAGCACAAACCCAGGCTAAAATTAACAAAGTGTAGCTGAAAGCTCATAAAAGGCTAACATAGCAACAATTAGTAAAAATAGACAGCAAAATAAGCAAAACCATATACTAAAACCTAAAACAGAAGTGCTACAATTAGAAAATTAGTAAAAATTAGCTAAACTATAACTAAAAGCTCAAACCAGCAACCCTGCATCTAAAAGCTTATGTAAGCTAAGCATTAGCTCTAAGCTAAAAGGCACCAAACTGCAGGTAATATTAAATCATGAATTTCTTCAAAATTTTACAGGCGGTTCAGAGATGGCAGAAATTCACTTTAATCTTTGCTCAGACGTACAGCAGTGTTTAAAAACCTGTGCAGCCTCGGCTGTGGGGACGTTTCCACCCAGCCGAGGCAATCAGAGCATTTCCAACGAGTTGCTGATGCAATATGGCCGACCTGCAGGCAATTTCCGAAGCCCAAATATCAGCTAAACGAACTGAGATTGAGCTGAAGCTAGAGCCCAGTCTGTAGCCAGTTCTTCAGCGACGCYTCAAATAATATTGGATGCAAACAAAAACGAGTCACTTTTGAAAAGTGTCACCTAACAAAAACAAACTGTTTTAAAATTAAAGCACATCTCTATGTGAGGACAGATTCATATTGTTCTTTAAAACAAACAGGGAAATGACTTTCATGTTAGGTTAATAAAATAAACTGGTATCCAGAGCTGAAAAGCTCGTCTTCCTTCCTGTTTAATGAGACCTGAGCACCGAGCTGCAGGAGGTTGTTCCTGCTGCTGCAGCGTGGCCTTTGTCCAAGCTGTAATCTTCTAAAGCTGAATAAAGGAACACATCAGTCAGTTTTAGGAGCATAAAGCACAGATGTAGGGAAGGAAATGAGATCTTGGCAGGGCTGTGTAATTGATCAAGCGAGGTTTGTTTTGCATCTGTTCTTTTTTTTTTTTTTAGACGATGGTGAAGCACTTTATAAGAACTCGTTTATTTTAGTGTGTGTAAAAATATTTTTACTTTCCTGATTTTTGTGAGCAGTTTTATGACTTACCATCTGTGAAATTTATTTTTTACCAGTCATTTTCTATTAAGGTATTTTTACTTTTACTTAGTTATTTTTTCAAGTACTTTATAGACCTCTGCTTTTTCTCAGAGTTTATTTGATTTATTCTGTAAAATAATCACGGTTTCCTTTGATTTATGAAGGTAACTGGTTCTGATTTGTTCCTACATGAGGTGTTATACGGTGCAAGTCTATGTAAGTTCAGGTTAAAGTCTGGTTTTCAGTAGTGATGGGATAAATGGGTCTTTGAAGGGATCCGAATCTTGGGGAGCCATTTGTTTCAAAGAGCCGTTCAAAAGAGCCATTTGATTTTGAACGAGTTACGTCATCACATATGGCGACGTGATGACGTCATCACGTTACGTGGGTGGAGCCATGCGTTTTGTCAAGCAGAACCCCCCCTCCCCCTTTCCCATGAGCTTCTGTACTCCACTGCTCTGCCTGTTTTCTGTGAAAAAGCAAAGCGGGAGCAATTTAAGGATGAAAAAATAAAGATTATATGAGGAATAAAAGAAATAAAACTACAAATGGCTCACTACTGCCCGCGACTCGGCTCCTATCGTTCATTGTAAAGAGCCGTTCAAAAGATTCAGATCATTCATGAACATCACATCACTGGTTTTCAGTCTTCTACCTTTATAAAGTCCTGATTTATCTTGTTTTATTAATCCCAAGAATTTAAAATGTGCTTCAAATGTTTGGAAAATGCCACTTGTTTCAGATGTTATCATCCATTAAATGGACGTTATTAGCCGTTATCAGTCCCAAAGAATGGCTTCAGACTGTCAGCTGGTTAGTATGAGGCATAAAGCCACTAAGGTTAATTTTAGAGAAAATGACATGGGCTACGATAAAGTAGACCGGACACCGGCTGTAGCAGATTGTTGCATTCCAATGTATATGGCACTGGTAACCCACTAGGGGGCACTGTCGGGACAGTCTGAAGCCATTCTATGGGACTGATAACCGCTAATAACGTCCAGTTAACACTAGCTTGACTGAAATTTCAAGATCCTGAGGACAAACCCCCTCCTTCTTCTTAGCAATCTGAGGG